AATACATTAGTGAGAACAAGATGGAAGGTATAAGAATCTTAAAACAACCAATTAAAAACAAATACATTAGTGAGAACAAGATGGAAGGTATAAGAATCTTAAAACAACCAATTAAAAACAAATACATTAGTGAGAACAAGATGGAAGGTGTAACACAGGAATATTAAAATAACCAATTAAAAACAAATACATTAGTGAGAACAAGATGGAAGGTATAACATAGGAATCTTAAAACAACCAATTAAAACCAAATACATTAGTGAGAACAAGATGGAAGGTATAACATAGGAATCTTAAAACAACCAATTAAAAACAAATACATTAGTGAGAACAAGATGGAAGGTATAACATAGGAATCTTAAAACAACCAATTAAAAACAAATACATTAGTGAGAACAAGATGGAAGGTATGACATAGTTTTCTTACAACTATGGTTCTCAATGTTTGTCTGCAAATCTAAAAGGTTGTCCATGATGGTAAAGATGGTTCTCAATGTTTGTCTGCAGATCTAAAAGGTTGACCATGATGGTAAAGATCAAATTTCCATATTTTAGTTTAAGAAAAAAACCAAACAAATGACATTATTGTTGATTAAATGAAATTAGTATTAAATTAAAAAAATTCATTAACTTGCTTAAGATCAGTAATCTGTGTACGGATTTGTAAAATGGTCCCTGAGGAAAAACAAAAAAATTCAGGACCACTGTCTTAACACATTTTTTGGACAATAACTTAAACAATAACATTAAATTCAGCAGTAGCCATATTTACAAATAGTTAGTATGTCACATTATCATGCAAGACATCTTTCTTATCTGTTGTTTTTCAAAATGTGTCGTACATACTGGGGAGGGGGAATTGATGCACTTTGATAATAAAGATAGAAAACAGTGACCTTAATACTCCACATACTATAAAAGAACTTATATTTCAACTGATGTTTTGCTTTTGTGACTTCTTTAGGGTTAAAACTGTTTCGGGGTTTCTTTGTAGGCAGGTCGGCACTCAAGTGAAGAAACCACAAAGTTCTCTTATAATTATCTGGAGTGTAAAAGTAGTTGTTTTCTATCTATTTTATCTGTATTTGAATAAAATAATGATCATAAAAAAAGGTTGGATGCTCATAAAGGAATGACGGCAAATACAAATGACAGAAACTAGGCTTACAAACTAATATAAATTTATGGTCTTGAGGATTGATGAGAATTGTAAATATATATATAATAGTATTTTTATTTGCTGAATAAATAAAATACTAGTACTCTTTTTTCTTTTACTAACCTGAAATTTCTAAGCATTGTTAAAGATTCTAGCACATAGAGAAACCTCACAAGAACAGTAGCCCATTCACACATACACAAAAATGGCAACTCTTCGATATCTGCAATTGACACATCACATTCCTGGAAAAATAAACCATCACCACTCATGTAGTTATGTAACGTAAATGGTCATTTTAACAAGTTGTGGAAGAAATATATAAAAATAATATACTAGCAGCTTTAACTATCTGACATCTGTTGGACCTGGACAGTGCTGGATAGGCAAATATTTTGGTTATGAAAGGGTTTCCTTTACAATATTTTACAAGAAAAATTTTGACACTGTTAATATTTTAAAGTACAGTATTTCTACATCATCTATAACAATTACAGTTTTAAACAATAACAAATGCTATAAAAAAATATTTCTAGTATTTTAAATGTGAAGCACAGTACAGGCGACTAACAACTAAAGCTCGCCGGAGAGAAAGAACATAAACAAAGCCACAGTAGCCACAACGAGCGATTGTATTTGGAGATATTGAAATATCCCTTTACAATATCTGATATCAAGATGCCAGATAACAAAGCTTTGGCTGTATTTAGAAGATAGCATGTAATAAAGGCAATATTGATGGGAATAGTAGTCTGTTCCAGATTCAAATTAAACTATTTTAAAAATTAAATTGTTGCTAATTCTTTCATTTTTTTATCCGTTAGGTTAGCAACTTTTTATTTTCACAAACATTCATTATAGATTCCAAAATTTAATGTGTATTATATTTTTTAGGTTTCAACATAACTATAAATTACAATTTTACCACAACACGTCTCAGTATCGACTGTTTAATCAACCTCTCATGAACCTACAGGATTTAATATTTCATAATACGTAATCCATTAATTTGTTCCTTTTCTCAACAAACTTCAAATACAATTATTTCCACAAATTTCATTAACTTGTATAATTTGCTTCATAACTGACTAAATTTACCTTTTAATCACTGGTTCTTTATTAGATAAATCTTATATATCACCTGTTTGCACTATAAAAAAAAAAAGTCTAAATTGTCACTTATGAATACCCATTTTATTATTATATGTTTTGTTTAGAATTCTTATCTTAGTCCTTTTAAACTATTATTGTACAACAAAAAGAATACATTTTTGTTTTCAAATTTTAAGTGTATTTAAAGTCCCATAACTTAATAATTATATTAAAAAATAAACATAATTAATATAGAGGTGATAGATGTAAGCTTTGGAAGCACACATACAGATTTCTTCCTAATCAGTGTTTTTGTACTGTGTGTTTATTAATAAGTTTGTAGAACAATTTTTTTGATGATATGATCTGTGCAGCTATTTTGGAATATTTTTAAACTTTGTTAGACACTTTTATAAATATGTAGTCATATTCATTGTTCTTCTATTTTTTTATTTGTGGATGAAAGACCGAAAATTAATCTCAGTAGGCTAAAGGTCTTCTATCACCTTTCTTTCTTCTTATGTTTTAAAAAAGTTCATGACTTTTTTACATTTCCAATAAGGTGATAAAATATCTTCAAAGTTTAACCCCAAAGTTATGAAATTTATATGAATAACAGCATTCAGTTTGATTATGTAGTGTATCTATAAGGGTAAATATTCTCGTAAATAACTGTCCGAAAGATACGTCGATAAGTTTGAAACTTCTTGAAGAATTCTGAATCATGGTAAATGAAAAAAAATTGGAGAAAAATTTCAAAGGAAAAGGAGATGAAAGAAATGAAACTGAATCTTCCAAATCTCCCGTCATACCAGTCAATTTAAACTTCTTAAAAGATATGGCCCTCAAAAATCTTAAATTTTTTAAAACTATTTTGACAATTGGCATTCAATAATGTGGCACTTGGATGTAATTTTCCCTCAAATTTTATAAACTTAGCTTTGTTTTTATGTGAAAAAGCACCATGATAATTTGATTAAAATTACTTAACTTTCAAATAATTTCATACAATCTAACTCTAAGGCCCAATTAGTATTATATATATATACCACCCTTGTAGAAGGGGCCTCTAATATTTTAAATTTGTCCTGGGGACCCTCTAACAGTAAACCTGTTACATAATTTCTGCACCAACAGTAACAAAAGTGCCATGACTAACGATATGCAAAACTTTTAATTATAATGTAACATTTAAACTTAAAGTTAGACTACAGGTCTTAAAAATAAAAGTTAAATTAACAATTTGACTTTTACCTACATCTTATTCGTCAAACTGAAGTACGGATAATGAAGATCATAAATATAATTTACATATAAAATTGAAAAAAGAAGTTTAACTTTTACTAGTTTCAAGTTTTTATTATTTTCAAACTCAGTACTATTACTACTAGTAGTAATCTAATGTCACTAACATTGTTATCAAACGATTCAAAACTGTGCGAGATTTAACTTTCAAGTATTTTATTTTTTATTTGAAAAATACTTGGAATTTCAAAACAGTTACTTTAAAGTTTAACTTATTTAAGTACTTCGGTTCTATAATATATCTGCAACAAGGTTTTACTTTCAGCGCTATTCTAATCTAAGATTCAAACACTACTTCTTAAAATGTTAGGCCTACATCAGTACGTATTTTGAAATCGAATTGAAAGGTTCACATTACGCCTCGGAATATCGTCGATTTCTCTGGCTTCTTTTTTTAGCGTCTACTCTAACCACCTAGTCGTTCATTATATTACTACATTGAAACAAGTCTTGTAAGTTGTAGTTGTAGAAGAATAGAGTGAATGGAAAAAATGTTGCTTCAGTAACGTATTACACTTACTATAGTATTGGTTGATTCAACAGACTTTACTATTTTATAAAAATTAAATTCGCTAGAAATAGAATACAACTGTTTATCGTTATTCACATAAAAATAGTTACGATGGTAATTCTTTTACTCTTAATGTTTTTTCAGTTATATTTTTAAAGTGTTTTCAGCCTATGTTACTCAAATATACGTTATCATATCCCATACAAACTTCACGGCATCAGTATTTGAAAATATTCTTCTATGCGCTGTTTCCCGTTTCCACTGGCGATTGTTTTTGACGTGAAATCCTAGCGTTGTGCATAAAAATCACGAGAAAATCCTTGAAAATAATAAGCAATCCTAAAACAAGTCCTGAAGCTACAATATTTTATTCAAACACTTTTTTTTTGTAGATAAACTTCTAGCATTTTCTCTGTTTCATTACTAATACAACCATTTGGTTATTTTTTATCATCAAAGAGAAAGAGATTAATTTTTAAAAAAGATGAAAATTACAAAGGAGCTTGTTAACTCTTTAAGCCCATATGTTTTTGTGCGTCCTGTGAAATTATTTTCATGGTGTCCAAACAATTATCACCATACCTTTTAAAATTTCCGGTTTATCCATAAAAGATAAATGATAATATGGTTTGGATTAGTTTTCAGCCAAAGAGACATCAAGACACACGTAGTTTGTCGTGCGGCCAAAACAATCTGCAGGATACAGTGTGTTATTAACAGGAGTGATAGTTTAGCGATTTTCCACCTTCTGTAGCTCGAACTGTGGTAATCCAGACTATCACATATTTTCAGTGGATATGCTCTACTGGAATCTTACTAAACATACCAACTTTCAAGACAATCCATTAAGAAATACACGAGATATAAAATCTCCAATTTTTATTGAAAAATTTCCTTTTTTTTTCTTCGCACCGAAAGTACGGTAAATTTATTTGATAGAAAAACATATTTAACTTTTATGGATTTTTTTTTCTAATTTGGTGCATAGATAGATCGTTACAACCTACAATTAGGTATCAAATTTGGTCTAATTATAAGGCATATGTGTAAAGTTATTCAACAAAAACTACTCAAATTTGAACAAAATTTGTACGCACGCCTACTCAAAGAGTGAAATATCGGTCTGACATTTTTACCCCAGCTTTACCTACGAGTAAAAGTGAACAGTTTTTAGTCATTCGGATTAAAGACAACTGATTTAGAGCAGCAAAACTATAGGGTGAAAACACGTGCAAGATACATATATATATATTGGTTAGGCCAAGCAAAACGGAAACTTGATAGGAAAACATACTTAACTTTCATGAATTCGTTGGTTGTTTTTTCAAATTTGGTACACTGATAGATCTTTACAATCTACAACAAGGGGTCACACTTGATCTAAATATAAGCCACATGGTGCAACGTTATGTGCCGGTAATGATTGTCAGTACATAGACTGAATGTATAGTGTTACGACAGCGGAAGTCACGTGACCCTAGTAACACGTCATGATATTCTCGAAGAATCTTGAATGCTCGAGTGTTTAATAGATGTGCGGTATTCTTGTATATAAAACCGCAAGAAGTGACGGCAACAATGGAATTGAATTGCAGACAGAGATAGAGACGGACAATTGAGTCAAGCGCGCGAATCGTTCGTTGTGAATTATAGCGTTTGTGTAAGTTAACTGACTGTGGGAATTAAGTGTATTGCAAAGTTGTATTGAGAAAG